GGGGCACTCTATACCCACCCTCTTCACTGCCTCGCCCCACCACAGTGCACAGCAACTCTTCCACCTCATACTGGGCCTTTGAGGGACTGGTCACAATGAATTTTGTTGGTCTTTCTAGTGCACACCAACTCCATGGGGACTCTTGCTGAATGCAATCTGATTTACAGAGTAACATGCTTCCTCCTGGCATTGAGTGGAAATATATAAAAGTTGTGATTATACAGGTATGCTGGAAACAAGAGGAGGCGTGCAAGTCTGATAATCTGACTGCATTCAGCGAGAGTCCCCGTGGAATTATTGCACATAAACTAGGTCAACAAAATTCATTGTTAACAGTCCCTTACACTGCCACTGCATGTGAGCTGAGAAACCACACATATGAAGCCTGGGGTTACCCAGCTTCTTGTCATTTGATTAAAAATATATTAAAAATTTTTATTAAAAAAAAAAGAAATTTAGTCAAACTTCCATTCAAAGATCCCTTAGTAAACTCCACAATAAAAGACTTTATTATAACTGTGAAGTATATTTCATCTTCATCTCAACTTTTTAATGTCTTTTTGAAAACCACACCTCTAAATAATCAGTAAAAACATCTTTGACCCTACTTCTTTTACCCCTCCCATTTTTATATCTTGATCAGTCATAAAAATATATCTGTGTCTGCCCTGATTCCACTGTTGTAACCCTGCTTTATCAGACCAGTGAAGTTCCCACCTACGCATCACGTTTTATTCTCTTGGTTGGTCTCTACACCAAATATTTGCTACTGGAGTGGGGTAACAACACAGGAAGTGGTATCTTGAAACTTAATATTGGATCAATAAGATAACAGGTGAGAATGAGGGTGTATGGAAGCTGAAGAGAGGAGTTATCTGCCCGGTTCCAATCAAACAGGGGATCACAGGATCAGTTGCAGGTTATCTTGGCATCAAAGGGAATGTTATCATTTCATAAAACTGGATTAACTGTCCTTACAACTCAACACCGTTGAGTAGGTGAGACAAAACAAACTGCCTCCTTCTACACTCCTTTCCTTCAAATCCTCCTCCCTCTCATGTCTTCTCAAACTCTGCCCCTGCACTCTTGTTCTTCCAAACCCTCCTCAATCATTCATTCTCCCCTCCCTAATACCCCTCCTACACCCCTCCCTCTGTTATCCTTTCAAATCCTCCTATACCCCCTCCTCCTCAATCTCCCTCCTACACCCCTCCTCTCTGCTGTCCTTTCAAATCC